TAATGAATTTTAGAGGAAAAATAATCATATTTCATAGGCAAAGGAATATGACATAATATATCTTGTCTGTGATTGTGGGTTAATAAGAAAGTATCTAATTTAAAAAAAAAATGACACATTACAGGGTGAAAGAGAACGATAATTGTTGAGTTCTCTAGCTTTCTAAAAATTAATAGAACCGGACAAAATTTATAAATTTAAAAGAATCGATAGATAAATAGTATAATTGTTCTTATATTCTTTTTTCTAAATACATACATTTATGTTTTACTCATCACTTACCCACCCTCAAAACCATCATCATTTTATTAATAGATTTCCCATTATATTTATTACATTTATTACTTATACAATTATTTGACATGATCTCTCATGGACAATTTTAATGCAATTAAGAATCCATGGTCATGTGATCTCACTCAGATTTTGAAGTATTGAATTCAGATTGACTAAATTTTCTTCAAAAATTGATTTTTTTAGATAAAAAAGTAAAAAAAAAAGCTAAACCTAAAATGATTTGGCATTTGCAAGATAGCATATATAAATGGTAATCTTGCAAATTTCTTTTCAATGGCTCCGTTACTTTATTTTTTAAAAAATTCATAAATGTCTAATGTGACAACAACTTCAATTTTGTTGTTGTTGTTGTTGTTTTTTTTTTTTTTTTATAAATAATATATAACATGAAAAACGGTCCACGTAGATGTGAATGTAGATTGGAATATAATTATATGAATGCAAGAAATAGTAAATTGGAAATGTAGTCATTTAATTGCTTTTTTTTTTTTTTTTTTTTGGTGTTGCCATTTAAGGTGTTTCAATGAAGTTGTATTTATTTATTTTTTAAATTATTATTTAAAAGTTCAATTTCACTATTTGGCCACAATCAAGGGTTAATTTGACCCTTATCTCTTGAATATTGTAATTTCTGTTTTGGTGTTAAATATTGCAACTAGATAATATTTCAGTATGTAATAGAGCTAGTAGCATTCAAAAAATTTAATATTTCAGTATGATTTTGCTTGAGTGACTGACTTATCACTGTCTTAGACCAGTCAATAGATCAGTGAAAGAACTTGGTGCAAAAATTAAACCAAACAAAAGTAAAAGACACAAAATATTGTTTGTAGCCATAACCTTCACATTCATAACACTGCATTCCATTGCTTGAACTCTTACCATTACTCGATGAAGAATTTTTAGAGTGTCTAGTGCAAGAAGATTGACTTTGTCCGCGACGTTTGAATCCCTTCAGAAAGTTCTGGAAATTCTCAGTCAGCAAGGCTCGAGATTCATCATCTAAGTCCACAACATCAAAATCTTAATCAACATTTGTGATGAATGCCACAGATTTGCCTTTTCTGACTGAACTAGGATTGTCATCAGACAGCACTTGAAGTTCGTAAGTGTGTAGAACACCCATTAGTTCACCAACAGTCTTCTTCTCCCAGCCTCTTGATTTTCTTCAATTGTTATAACCTTCATATGAAACCTCTTGGGCAGTGAGCGAAGAACTTTCTTGATCACCCTTTCATCAGAGAATGGTTCACCAAGAGCGGATGTCCTATTCATCAAATCTTGTACCCTACTATGGAAATCTGAGATATTCTTGTCTTTATTCACCATCAGGGCTTCGAATTCCGAAAGAACCATTTGTAATTTTGATTGCTTTACATCATTGATTCCTTCGTATCGAGTTTGCAAGATCTCCCACGCCTTCTTAGCTTCTTTCACACCAATGACTAGGGTGAATACTGACTCATATAATGATCCCACAATTGAATTCAACGCCATGCCGTTGTAATCTGAGAGAGTTAATTTATCATTTGACCATTCCCAAGAGCCTTATTAAACTCAGATCATCAATGGTGTCTTGAGAAGATGATAACTCAAAGTATTTTCTTTGTAATTCGTGGAGAAAGTTTCTTTATATTTAAATATTGAAGAATATTTCTTGTAAAGCACCTCTATTTTTCTCGCTCTCTCTTTATTTCCCATGTAAAGAAGCAGTATATATAACACTTTGAGTCTTGGATGACAAGTAATCTTCTAGGGATTTCTTGTAGACAAGGATTACTTGCCATTATTCTTTTTTAGCAATTCTGATTTCATCAAGAATGTTTTTTTAAAACCATTAATATGGTAATTGCATTGCTAGTCATAAAAGGCTGCGATAATTTCCGAAACACGACTGGCGTAGTGACTATTTCGCAAGAGCATCACTCAGTGACTGTAACAGACACAACTTGACCTATCTAGTTTTTTCATAATAGTTTTCCAATTACAAGCTGGGGTTTACAAAATTTAAACACTAACAAACTCTCCCTTTAGCTATTATTTGACAAAAAAAACTCGATAAAGAATAGTACAATTAAACAACCATAAAACTTAAGCAAAAAGCAGTTACAATCGTAAAGGTAAAAGCCCTTCAAAACCAACCAATTGTCTTTAAAGAAATCTAGCAAATTTATCAAACTCCCCCTCAACGTATACTAAAACTCCCCCTCCATGTATACTACTCTCCCTTTTTGTCAAAATAATACACAAAGTAAATACCTCAGCAGGGGGTTCTTCCTCATTGACCTAATCAGTAGTAGCAACGACTGGTTCAACATCTGACTGATTCAGCCGAAGTAAGACAGTAGCAAAATCAATATGAGCAATGAATGCAACTTCTTCAATATCAGTCTCTTTCAGTTCATCGTCACTCCAAGTAACAACACTCAAGGTCTTCTTCCATTTGAGATAGGTAGGACACTCAGATTGTTTGTGGCCATAACCTTCACATTCATAACACTGGATTCCTTTGCTTGAACTCTTACCACCACTCAATGAAGAATTTTTAGAGTGTCTAGTGCAAGGAGATGGGCAGAAACTAGACATTGATCTATGAGATTTATTATTGAGTTATGGTTTTGAATGTTTGAATGTTTGATGTGACTCAAATTATGCATATTTTTAGTATTGATTTAATTATATTTGTTAGACTTAGGCTCATAATTTTGGTAATTTAATTTCATAATCCCTTGTTTTATCATTTAGTTATGGTCTACACTTGTTTTGAATGTTTTACGGTGTTTGTTAGTGTTTTTGAACTATTGTAGGTCAATTCTGTGAGCAAGGGAAGTTCGAGGACAAGTTTGGAGTCGAAGTGGACCAAAAGTCGCGTACCCAGCAAGTTCGACGCGTCGAGCCAAAGGTTCGACGCGTCCGGAAATTGAGCCAAGAGGCTTGACGCGTCGAGCCTCACCTCGACGCGTCGAAATGACCTACGCTTAATTGCGAGAAGTGTAGAAGGCGTTGTTTCCAAAAGTTCAAAAGGCGGCGTCAATTTCCCTATATTCCTTATATTAGTATTTGTCTTGTGCGATGCACGGTATAAAATGTAAGCATCTTTATTAAATTAGTTGTTATATTAAAACGTCACAACATACCATTACCATATATTATAAAGCATTGTGTTATTGGATATAACATAAGATTTTAAAATTTTACATTTAAATAATTATATACACACACACATTTTTCTAAAAAATTTTAAAAATTACTAAATTAAACTATATACAATAAATAAATGATTCTTTATTTTTTCATGAGAAAATATAAATGATGTCATAATATTTCAAACGTGAAACTTCAAAATTAGAAAACTATTAATACTCATGCCCCGTGTGATGCACATGCAACAAAATATAAGTATTATGCCGTGCCATGCACGGATAAGATTCGAAAATTTGTTTATAACATTTTAATTATCCAAAATGAATTTATTTATTACATATCAATTAAGTTGAATGTATTTGAAGAAGAAAAAAGAATATGAAGAAGATATTATTAATGAATAAAAAACACTTGCATCGAATAAAAAACACTACTTGGCATCTGTTATGCGGGGACTGTTTTTTGGTGTGTTTAAGGCTGTTTTAAAGAAACGAGAATGGGCTGTTTTTGTTTCTATGACGTGTGTAGACACTGCCTTAAAAGCTATTGCCGAAGACCGTGCGAGTCTTTAACCAGATAACTCACGTTTGCACAGAGAGAATACGTTTAGCTCTGGAATTATTCTTGTGAACCACAAAGAATAACGCTAATAGTGGAGAGGTTACGCACAATTGTTCTGCGCGATTTTCTCCTGGCCACACAAGACACTTTCTGAACGCCACCACACCGCGTCACGCACAGCACGACACGAGCCGAGCGGGCGGCAATGGCAGCGCGCACGAGACTTCCCCTTTCCTCTCTCTTGAAAACATTTCAAAGAACCCATTTGGAGTGGTATTAAAAAGGTGGGATATTTCCTTCTAGGAAACCAATGTGGGACAAGCCTTAAAGCAAAACTTAAAGTTAGACCACATTCTTGAATGTCAATCTCCAACATTTAAATTACATTATTTAAATAACAAATATTAAATATTATTAAACACTTCATGGTAAATAATTTTAGTAGTTTGTAGTTTGAACCTCTGCTTATCTTAGTACTTGACAGAATTTCATTTTCCGCAAAAACAAAGTGATTAAAATATAATACTAATTACATTGTTTTTTTTTTAAATAATCTAATTATGTTGTTAAATAATAAGTATTTAACAATTCATGAGAAGCACTACAGATCAAAATTATTGTTAATAAATACAACAATAATTGTATAAATACAATAATAATTGTATAAATACATATACACACAATAATTAAATTTAAAATATAACGTGGTGACCAAAATATTATAGGGACTTTTACAATAAAAAATAAAACCACAAAACTAATTTAATTGCTCAATAATTAAAGTACTCTATTCTTGCCAAGCATCTGTGTGCTCAGATGGCATGTAGTGACTTTTCTCATGTGGGAGGTTGAAAAAGTATGTTATAGAGTCAGCAGCATTCAAAAAAAAATAGCTTTACTCCCATAAAAAAATAAAATCCTTTTTGGGCCCAAACATATATAACCTTAATTTAACTCCCATAACAGTACATAGCACAGCCCATAACCTAACGCTAACCCTAACCCTACACATAAAAGGACAAAACGCTTCTGCTTCTTCACTCGGCTGAACTTGGGACCGGCTCCACAAATCTCCTTCTTCTCTCTTCTACTAAATCTCGAACGTAGGTTTCGAAATACCATTTTTCTTCAGCAACTATCAATGGATGAATGTTCTCTGCTATCTGTCGCAAGAATATTCGATCAACAACTGCTCTTCCAGACCTTGTACGCTGTCTTACGACCGAGTACGTGGGTTTCAGATTGGTCCAGTAGATCCGTCATAGTTAAGTTTCTTGTTCTAATAATCATTTTTAGATATCCCATATATTTTGTATAGATTCAATTTTGATTTACAATTTGTATACTCCATTTATATACAGGTTCGATCTAATTTTGAAGTTAAAATTTCATCACCACTGTTAGAAATAAGATTTTTTATGTGGCTCAAATCCAATAAGACAACAAAGCCGCCATCCACGTTGCCTGCTCAATGCATGTCTCTTCTTGCACATTCCTCCGATTGCGTCGCTGATCCGCATGCATGCCCACTTAATTCTCCTTTTTGATTGTATAAGTAGCTAGCTAAGCCTTGTAATTCAATGCATCAATCAATCGTAATTCATTCCTTCTTTCTTTAATTACCTCTCACGTAGATATATATATTTGTTGTCTTGTATTCTCTTTTGAGAATAATATATATATATATATATATATATATATATATTTCTATATTCTCCCAATCACTTTATTAATTCTTTTTGTCATTTTATATAATTTTCTTCATTTAATATACTTTCCCAATTATTCAACTTCTATAATTCTCAATTTTCGATTCTTCGCTTCCGCGTTATTCCGCTATATTCGTAACAAGTGGTATCAAAGCGGTTTATTTGAGAATTATTTTCAAAGATGTCGACTGTCACTAAGTTCGATATCGAGAAGTTCGACGGGAAAATTAATTTCTCTATCTGGAAGGTTCAGATGGAAGCCGTTCTAACCCAGAACGGTTTGAAGAAAGCGCTAGCTGGGAAGAAGAAGAAACCGGCTGCAATGACAAATGAAGATTGAGAAGATTTGGATGACAAGGCACATTCAACCATCCTTTTGTGCCTGTCTAAAGAGGTTCTACGTGAGGTACTAAGTGAGACGACTGCGTCAGATTTATGGTCCAAGCTGGATACACTTTACATGGCCAAAACTCTGGCGAACACGCAACGCCTGAAGGAGCGTCTGTACACAATCCGTATGACGGAAGGTACTTCTATTAAATCTCACTTGGATGAATTCAATTCTATTTTGTTGGACTTGGAAAATATTGATGTCATAATTGACGATGAGGATCGTGCTGTTTTATTGCTTGTCTCTCTCCCTAAATCGTACAAGCATTTCAAAGAAATTATGTTGTATGGTAATAGTAGTGATACCCTTTCTTTTGACAATGTTAAGTCAAACCTATTGTCCAAAGAAAAGTTTGACTTTGAAATTAAGTCTGAGGACAAAGGTGAAGGCTTGACTGTAAGGGGTCGTTCACTTGAATCAGGGAGTAGCAATAAAATTCTAGATCCAAGTCCAAAGGACGTAAGTCCAACAAATCCTGCAAGTACTGGAAGAAGCATGGTCAGGATGTGACTGAATGCTTTAAGTTGAAAAACAAGCAAGAGAGAGAAAAGTCCGCTGAAGCTAGTGTTGTTGAAAGTGATTCAGAAGGCGATGTTATGTTATCTGTTAGCTCCGGTTGCAAACGGAGCGAAACCGAGTGCCTTCTGGACTCTGGTTGTACATTCCACATGTGTCCTCACAAAGACTGGTTCGTCTCTCTGGAACCGGTTGATGATGGAGTTGTCTTGCTGGGAAATGATACCCAATGCAAGATTAGTGGAATTGGAAGTGTGCAGATTAAAACTCATGATAATGTTATCAGGACTCTTACCAATGTTCGGTATATTCCTGATTTGAAACACAATCTGATATCCTTAGGCACCTTAGAATCTTTGGGGTGCAAGTACACAACTGAAGGTGGAGTTCTGAAGGTCATAAAAGGCTCTCTTGTTCTCATGAAAGCTTCTCGTTTTGGAAGCTTATACATCTTGCATGGCAGTACTGTGACAGGTTCAGTAGCGGTATCCTCATCGATGTCTGATGCGGATCTCACTCAACTATTGCATATGCGTCTGGGGCATATGAGTGAGAAAGGCATGCATCTATTGAGCAAGAAAGGCCTCCTTGGTGGTTCAGGTACGATTAAATTACAATTTTTGAGCATTGTATTTTTGGGAAACAAAAGAGGGTTAGTTTCTCTACTGCTACACACCGTACCAAAGATGTATTGGAATACATACATTCCGATTTATGGGGACCAACTAAATTCCAGTCTATGGGAGGCTGTAGATATTTTATGTCTATTGTTGATGACTTTTATCGTAAAGTCTGGGCCTATTTCCTGAAACATAAAAATCAGGCATTTTCTATTTTCAAGAAGTGGAAAATACTTGTTGAGACTCAGACAGGTAAAAAAGTCAAGAAGCTCAGGACAGACAATGGCTTGAAGTTTTGTGAGTCAGATTTTAATGACTTCTGTGTGGCAAATGGAATCGCCAAGCACAAGACCATGCCTGGTAAACCCCAGCAGAATGGTGTTGCCGAACGTTTGAACAGGACTCTATTAGAAAGAGCTCGTTGTATGCTCTCTAATGCTGGGTTATGGAAACGGCGTGATTTTTGGGCCGAGGCCGTTTCTACTGCTTGCTATTTGGTAAATAGATCTCCACATTCATCCCTTGATTTCAAAATTCCAGAAGAAGTTTGGTCAGGTAATCCTGTTGACTACTCTATCTTAAGAGTCTTTGGATGTCCTGCTTATGCTCATTCCAATACGGGTAAATTAAACCCTCGAGCTGTCAAATGCATTTTCCTTGGTTATGCCTCTGAGTCAAAAGGGTATCGTCTATGGTCTCCTGATTCTTAGAAAATCATTCTGAGTCGAGATATCACTTTTGATGAAAATGCACTACTTTCTTTTGGAAAAGTTCCCAGTACAGGTGAGATGCAGAGTACTGGTGAGAAGGTGGAGTTTGAGTTCAGGCCTATTGACAGTATTACTACACTAATGGTAATACTAAAGATGATACATCTACTAGCACCGCACCTCTCGTCGAGCCACAACGAGAGTATTCCATTGCTATGGATGGTCCTAGGAGGACAATTAAAAAACCTGCTAGGTATGCTAGTGATGATGAAACCAACATGGTTGTTTATGCTCTTTCAGTCGCAAAGGAAGTTGATGGTGATCCATGCATCCTGCTATTTTGAAGTTTTTCCTATTGCTAAGTTCAAACAATGTTTGAGTTTTGTCGGCTGTTCCAGTGATTAATGTCTACAATGGATTTGATCCAAGGTGGAGATTGTTAGAAATAAGATTTTTTATGTGGCTCAAATCCAATAAGACAACAAAGCTGCCATCCACGTTGCCTGCTCAATACATGTCTCTTCTTGCACATTCCTCCAATTGCGTCGCTGATCCGCATGCATGCCCACTTAATTCTCCTTTTTGATTGTATAAGTAGCTAGCTAAGCCTTGTAATTCAATGCATCAATCAATTGTAATTCATTCCTTCTTTCTTTAATTACCTCTCACGTAGATATATATATATATTTGTTGTCTTGTATTCTCTTTTGAGAATAATATATATATATATATATATATATATATATATATATATATATATATATTTCTATATTCTCCCAATCACTTTATTAATTCTTTTTGTCATTTTATATAATTTTCTTCATTTAATATACTTTCCCTATTATTCAACTTCTATAATTCTCAATTTTCGATTCTTCGCTTCTGCGTTATTCTGCTATATTCCTAACAACCACCGAGTCTCTGAGAATGAATTCTCTCATGCAGACCCGTACGATGTAAGTTAATTCTTCCTAATAAACTCTGATATATCTTCAATATGGTATATGTAAATTTTAATTTTATTTATAATATGTATTTTTATCTATCCATGCTCGTGTAGATCCATCCAATATCTCATTCATTTTCCTCTCAAAACATTATTCGAAGTATGGAAATAAATTAAATGCTGTTCATATAATTTCTCACAGTGAACAATTATATTGTTTTTAAAAATTTGTTCCTTTATTTATTTATCATTACCCACACTTTGAACATAACACAATGAAAACAATGTAAATTTTAATTTTATTTATAACATGTATTTTTATCTATCCATGCTCGTGTAGATGCATCCAATTTCTCATTCATTTTCCTCTCAAAACAATATTCGAGGTATGTAAATAAATGTAGTTCATATAATTTCTTACAGTGAACAATTATTTTTTTTTTTAAAATTTGTTCCTTTATTTATTTATTTATTAGTACCCACACTTTGAACATTACAGAATGAAAACAATAGCAATAATGAAAGCATTGTTACTGTTAATAAGGATTTTGAAAAATATTACAGAAAATCTGATATTAACATGACATCTTTGTCATGAAAGAGGTATTATTTTGCTTTTGCTTGTTGTGCCTCCATGTATCTCAGGAACTTCGTAGGTTCTGACCAGCCAAACTCGGAGTGCTCTCCTTGTATGCAGAGGGCATTTCGAAAACAATTTGGAGGATTTTGGCACTACCTTTCGTTTGAGAAATTGCGTGCCAAATGTTTGAACAATTTATAGCTAAACTAATAATTGTTAGATATTACTCATTAATTATTATTGTAGAGTGAACTGTCAAATGGGACCGTGTCTATTCGGTTCCTTTATATTTTAACATTAAAGTTATGACTCCTTATTAGTAATTAGCAATTGTTTTATAATTGATTCATAAATATATTGCGTATCTAGAACTTTCTTTAATTGAGCGGGAAACTACTATTGTGCTTTATTATAGTAGAAGAGAAGATTAGATGAAGCAATGAAGCACTACGATAATTTCCAAATCAAATTAAAAGGTCCATTTTTCAAAAGCAAAATTTACGAGGGCAATTTATAAAATAAATTAAGAGAATTCCGATTTCGCCCCAATTTGATTCCAGCTATAAAATCCCATCTTCCTCAACCCTAAAATATATTCAGGGGAAAATTGTAAAAAATGTCCATCTATAATATGTCAATTATCAATGTCACCCCTAAATTATGAGTGGTGTAAATGTTGCCCCTTAATTATTAAAATGGTGCACATATAGCCCCTCCCGTAACGGATTTGTGGTTCCCCACCGTTGTCCATCGTTGGTACTTCGAATCGAGGGATGAAAAAACAACTAAATTACATATTTACTCCGACTTAACGGTATCGTACACTAACGGGGAACCACATGTCCGTTATGGGAGGGGCTATATGTGCACCGTTTTGATAATTGAGGGGCAACATTTACACCACTCATAATTCAGGGGTAACATTGATAATTGGCATATTATAAAGGGGCATTTTTAAAAATTTTTTAGAGACAAGAAAGAGGAGAAAATCAAGAGCCACGAGTCGTCTTGCGAAGCAAGAAGAAAACTAAGGAGATTTTGAAAATCGCTTGGTTCATTCTTGTACTCTTTTTGATGATTTGTAATTCTTTAAATATATTTGCTATGGATAATTTAGCCATGCTTGGCTAAATTCTTTAGAGATTCTTGCGTAAAAGTGTTTATGAACCTATGTGTCTGAGCTCCAGATTCTTTAATATATTATTATTTGGGTTTAATACTTGTGTTGCAATTGTGTTTATCATTCTTGTTGCTAGTAGTTTAGGGCCCGAATTACTTGCTTCATAGCTTTGTTTGTGTCACAACGAGAGTTGGGCATAACTTAGGGCACACACAATTGCACATAACTATTGCACCTTGAGAAATGGTAATTTTGTTAGGGAGTTTAATTATTGATTATTGCACATCGAGAGATGGTAGTTGTTAGGAATTTATTATGATGCTTGTTCTCGTTCTTATTGGATGTTTATACCATGAGAGTGGATATTCACTAGCTCTATACCACTTAGCATCCTCACACCCGTTTAAACCCATATTTAATATTACATTAGGTTAGGCACTAGGTGATTAAACACTTGAATCCCAGGAATCTCATTTTCTCTCTCTATCATTTTCAAAACCTGAATCATTTATTTATTTATTTGTATCCTTCACCCATAATCATTAGGATTAGTTTCTCGTGAATAAATTAGTAATTAGTGTTTAATACCCCACCTCCCTGTGGATTGATAACTCGTTACTCAGAGTTTATTTGTTTGAAAATATACTACAATCAATGTTTTACAGTGTTTGTTAGTGTATTTGAACCATTGTAGGTCATGAGCAAAGACAAAGGAAGTTCTAGGACAAATTTGGAGTCAAGTGGACCAAAAGACGCATACGTAGCTAGTTCGACACGTCTAAAAATTCCAGAAGCCAAGTTCGAGACGCAGATAGGGGTCTCGACGCGTCGAGCGATCGCATCAGCCTTCAGAAAAACGACGTCAATCTTCAACGTGTCGAGTAAGCCACTTGACACGTCGAAATATTCCAGAACACATCCGATAATTTGAAGACCTGGGCTCGACGCATCGAGTCCGACAGGTTTGCTAGGCTGATTCGTAAGCCCAGGACGCGGTTTCAGCCCGTTTTCGCACAGAATTCTCCTATTTCCTCCTGGACTGGTTCCAGCTATAAAATCCCACCTTCTCCAGCCCTAATATTCAAGCAGAGCTCTTTGGAGACAAGAAAGAGAGAAATCAAGAGCCACAAGTTGTCTTGGGAAGCAAGAAGAAAGCTAGGGAGATTTGGGAAAATCACCAAGTTCATTCTTGTACTCTTTTAGATAATTTGTAATTTCTTTATTGTACTTTTCTATGTATAATTTAGCCATGCTTGGCTAAATTCTATTACAGATTTTTGGGTAAAAGTGTTTATGAACCTATGTGCTTGTGCTCTCAGATTCTTTAATATACTATTAATTGGGTTTTAAACTTGCGTTGCAATTGAGTTTATTATTACTGTTGTTGCTAGTAGTTTAGGGCCCGGATTACTTGTTTCATTGCTCTTTTTTTTTTTTTTTTCATAATGGTAGTTAGGCATAATTGAGAGTACACACAATTGCACTTGACCTTTGCACCTTGGGAGAGGGCATAAATGTTAGGGAGTTTAATTCTTCATTATTGCACATCGGGAGATGATAATAGTTAGGAATTAATTAAGAATGCTTGTTCTTATTATTATTGGGTGCATATATCACGGGAGTGAATATTCACTAGGGTTAGAGATTACGGGAGTAACTTTATACCATCTTTGCATTCTCACACTAGTTTAAACCTATATTTAATATTGCACTTAAGATAGGCACTAGGGGATTAAACACTTAAATCCCACGAATCTCATTCTATCTCTAATGTTTTCAAAACCCCGATATATTGTTTTGCTTTACTTATTTATTGCAAATCGTCCATCATAATCATTAGGATTAGCTTCATAAGAATTGGTTAGTAGCTAGTGCTTAATCCCCCACTTCCCTGTGGATCGATTACCCGATATTCCGGGTATTATTTGCTTGAAAATATACTACAATTCAATTAACAAACTCGATCTTCTTTTTCTCTTAATATGATTTTTCTTTTGTTTAGATATTAAAGATTTTTCTTTGGGATGTCGATTTTGCCCGTAAAATATAAAATTCGGCAACATTGCACCGTCAATTTGGCCGAAATGACTAAAACTGATAAAAATAATAAAGTTAGGCATCAAAATTGAAAAAATTTAAAATTGTGCACCAAAAGTGATAAGACCTTAAAAGTTATGGGCCCAAAAATGAAATTAATTCAATAGTTAATATGAGTGTTTGATTAATCAATTTCTTTGTAATAGCTTATTGCTCCAAAATGCTAAAATTCAAAGCTTTTTCGATCAACATTTTGAGAAAAATAAATTAAATCTTTAAAGGTCATTTCACATGTAGTCAGCTATCAACTAACAGCTAATTTACCAAACATCTTTCTACAACAAGCTAATTTATAAAATCTAATCAGATGTTCATATTTCTTAATCAGAAGGAAATAACTAAATGATGTTTAGTGTGTTAAAAATGAATATTAATGATGCATGAGGTTCTCAGTCTAAGAATCTAGCATAGATAGATTTGAATAAGCAATCAACCACTCTATCTCAACCCACAAACTGATACATGAACATGCTATCCTTCGTCAATCTGAAAAGACTTTAAACTAAGCCAGTAATCTCACATTATATAACGTATGTGGTATACAAAATATGGCCTTTATAGCTGCATGATTGGTAATATATTTGGCAGTTTCTGGACCTGTACTAATGTAAATGCTAAGACTTTCTGGAAACTATTTTCATATTTATAAGTTCTCTAGCTTTCTAAGAATTAATAGAACTGTTGTATTGAAGTTTAGTTGGCCTTAGCCTCCTTGAGTTTGGTGAACGCGTGAAGAACAAAAGCAAAGGAAAGGAGTAGAGATATATGTGAGATGAATGTTGTGTTCTCATTAGCCTCAATCTTTAGTTACAAGAGTATAGAATATAAAGAACTCAATGTAATAAATACAATAAATGTATATAACTGTTACATCTGTTACGTTCCGTTACAAATATAAATGTCCATAAATAGTGGTTTTATAACACTCCCCCTTGGACATTATTTTGCCATAATCATGCCTCGTTAAAAACTTGCTAGGAAAACCCTGTGGGAAAAACCTAGACAAGAATAGAGTACAATAAAATATATATTCATGCCTCATTAAAAACTTCACTAGGAAAACCACGTGGGAAAAAACCTAGTTGAAGAAAAGAGTACATGATATATGTAAAAACATATATTGTATTGGTCGCCTCATTAAAAACCTTAACTTAAGAAAACCCTGTGGGAAAAACTTAGTTAAGGGAAAAAGAGTACAACCTTAAGCCTTCCGGGCGCAAACTGCATAATCTTCAGGATTCTAGGGTTTGTCCATTTAAGCACTTATTTTGCAATATTTTCCCATTTACATCATTAATATCATACACATGCCACATTAAAAACCACACTAGAAGTCCCAATGGAAGAAAACTAGTGAGGAAAAGAGTACATGATATTTATGTATTTATGTGTTGCAAATAATGCGCAACTGTTAGTCTTTTATGACTTAACCTTCAGGATTTTACGTTCAATCTTCCGGATTGATTCAAGTAAATGTACTTCCCATCTCCCCCTGAAGATAACAATCTTCAAGTTCTACATATATTTCAAAATTTGAAGGGATGGATTGGACAAATCTTCTGGATTGTCACTAGAGTAGTGTACAATAATCTTATGGCTCTTCTAGAGCTCATATAACATTTGTGCAAAACAAGTGTTATTGTCCTCATTTTGAACATTTAGAGAAATTCATTGTATAACCAGTTTGGACTTGGCATTGCGGGGATCAAACAAAACAGTCAGTACCCAAGTAGCCTATTAAAACCGTATCATGGTTTCTTACATAAATGTCATGTCTTTGTATCTCGAAGATACCGGAAGATATGTTAATCATTATTCAAGTACTTCATTTGTAGGGGGAGAACTAGATTTTGCTAGCAATTTCATCGCAAATATGTTGCGATTATAATGGTTCTATAATGGTGCTCCAACGATAGTGAAGTAAGGGACTTCGAGTCCAAAAAGGTTCCTTATCTGCTTCAA